ATCAGGGAGGGTGCCGATCAAATCCTGAAAACGGAGAAGAAAAACCGCGACTCGTGTGTGCGGGCGACCTAAAAACAGAAATGCCATCCGAAAATCTATCTTCTAAAGATAAGATTAAATTTTTGTTCCTCCCGTTTTTTCCTATTTTTTTCTCCAGGAGCAGACCGCTGCTCCACACGCCTGCACCAGGCGGCTCGCGCACCAGGTGGCTGCTCTCCGAGCAGGCGGCTCGTGTAGCAGGTGGCTGCTCTCCGAGCAGGCGGTTCGCGTAGCAGGTGGCTGCTCTCCGAGCAGGCAGCTCGCGCAGCAGGCGGCTCGCGCATCAGGCTACTGCTCGACCCTGCTGCTTCCGATACAAGCCAATAAATGCCCAACGGTCATGCAATTGAATGAACAGTTACGGACGAATCAATGCCAACGTGGTGGACATTGATGTTCAATGGTTATGTCAATTAAAATGTCATTAACACACAACAAATCTTCCTCTATAAATTGGCTAGCAGGTGATTTGAAACAAAAAGCACACATACGTTCACAAACACACTCTTTAGCTCTCAAAAACACCTGTAGCATTCCAGAAATATTCCTTGTTGTTCATACTTGTTCACGTTCGCCGCAACAATTCGTTTGAGTGCTCAAACAATTGTCCGTAGTCATCGTATCATGTGAAACTATCGTTGCAACGCTCCTAGCACGGGAGGCAACGAATACGTTTTAAGGACATTGTGCGTTGCACGAGCTTTGGCTAAATTCTGTTTCTTCTACTTTTTGTTTTCTTTAGTCATTTTAATTAATTAATTTTTATTAATTATTTCTTGTTTTTTCGAAACACACCCAACAATCTTAAAACGTACTTTGATAAGCTTGTATCATACGGATACAATCTTAAAATGTAGTTTGTCACTTTGGTGAACAAACTTAATTTTTTTGTGTTTTCGAAAAACTTAAGGAAACGAAAAATGGCTTTGCAAGAAAATGAGAATAATGTTGGGCAGAATGTGTCAGTTGACACACACTCTGAAAGTGGAGCTCCGGTGAAAACTAGTTCACAACGCGGTGCATCTGCTTTGGGCAACCAAAGGGCTATCCCTATGGTTACCGTGCCGAGCAACTCTGTGGAGAAACCCAAAAAGTTTAATGGGTTAAACTTCAAGAGGTGGCAGCAAAAGATGTTATGTTACCTCACTACTCTCGGTCTTGTGAGGTTTTTGACCGAGCACGCTCCGGTTGTAACCGGAAGTGAGGTGGATGTGCAATCTCTCAATGCGGTTGAGGCTTGGAAGCATTCTGACTTCCTTTGCCAAAACTACGTGTTGAACGGGCTGCACGATGCTTTGTACGACGTTTATAGCAAATTAGCTATGGCTAAGGAGCTATGGAATGCTTTGGAGCACAAATATAAAAGTGAGGATGTCGGTGCAAAGAAATTTGTTGTCGACCGATTCCTTGATTTTAAAATGGTGGATTCGAAGACGGTCTTGAGTCAAGTTGAGGAGATGCAAATGATCTTCAACGAAATTCGAGATGAAGGAATGACGGTTAGCGAGTCTTTCCAAGTGGCATCAATTATACATTTGTTGCTGCCAGCTTGGAAGGATTTCAAAAACTACCTTAAGCATAAGCGAAAGGAAATGAACTTGGAGCAATTGATCCTCCGCCTACGGATTTGAAGAGGATAATCGGAAGAACGATGGGAAAATCCAAATCGTTAAAGGCGCCAAGGCAAACGTGGTGAAGCATGCTAAAGGCTCCAAAAATAAAAATAATGGGAAGAGCAAGCTCGGTCCCAAGGGAGGCGTTTCCAAACCAAAATTTAATGGAAAATGCTTCAATTGCAATAAAAACGGACACAAGTCCGCGGATTGCAAGGCACCCAAGAAGAAGAAAGACAATCAAGTCAACTTGGTGCAAGGTGGGCAAAAGGATGAAGACATCATCCTTGCAGCCGTGGTGACCGAGGTCAACCTCGTTGAATCCAATTCCAAAGAGTGGTTTGTGGACACCGGTGCAACCCGACATATTTGCTCAAACCGGGAGCTATTCACGACCTTTGAGCCATCAAATGGAGAGAAGGTGTGGATGGGAAACTCGGCTCATTCCACGGTTGAAGGCGTGAGCAAGGTGGTCCTGAAGATGACTTCGGGCAAGGAGGTGACTCTAAACCTTTGTTAGTTAATACGCGTATAATACGCGTATAATACGCACGAACGTATAATACACGTATAAAACATCCGATTACGTATTTTGTCCAAAAATTCGTTAAAAACGCGTATTTTGAAGGTAAAACGTATAATTCTCGTATCAATCCATATTTATACGTATATAAATTAAAAAAAGCCCAATTGCCCAACTAAAAAGTAGACTAAAGCCGTAAAGCACAGACCTAGCACAAGCTCCAGCCTCCAAGGTTAGTCTCTTATCAACTACAGTATATTCTTTAAAATCAAGCTACAGTGTATTCTCCAACGTGATTTTATATGTTTGAGTATGTATTTAAAGCTACAGTGTATGTCATATCAAGGCATCAAGCTACAGTGTATTCCATTGAATCTATTCCATACGTTAGATAATTTAAAGTGTATTCTATCGAATCTACAGTGTATGTTCATCGATCTAACTTTAAGAAAATTTCAAGTGTATTCCATACGTTTGAACTTTGAAGTACAGTGTATTCTATCGAATCTACAGTGTATGTTCGAGATGTTTAACTTTTAGGAGTATTAATTTAGAGCCCATTTGGTAACCCATTTTTTCGGCTGATCAGGCTTATCAGCCAGCTTTTTCATCAAACACGTAACTTTTGATTTCACGCGCTGAAGTTTGTAATAAGCCGAAAAAATAAGGTTGGAGTTACTTTTCTGGCTGTATTGGCTGAAGTTACTGTAGAGAATCATTTTAGCAAATTTTCATATAATTTTTTATTTAATTTATTAATAAAAAATATTTTAAATATAATTTTTTCATGAATCAGCAGAATCAGCCAATACAGCAGCCACTTCAATCAGAACTTCATAAATTTCAGCAGAATCAGCCAATTCAGCCAATTTTAGTGTTACCAAACGGGCTGTTAGTATTTGAAAATTTAAACTTTTTCATCATACATTTACCACTTATGGCCGTCAATAATAAATTTATATTGTCTTATGTTCTTTTTTTATAGAACCATGGTTAGAAAGAGGGACCCGCTTTGGACCCATGTTGTGGATATGAATGGAAAATTTGAATGCAAGCATTGCCAACGCGTTTTTTCCGGTGGTCTAACTAGACTCAAGTTTCATTTGTCTGGATTAAAAGGCAACGACATTGAGATTTGCACACAAGTTTCTTCAGAGATACAATCTCAAGTGTGTCAAACCATTAGCCAAAATCCTTCCAAGAGGATGAGAGTGGATTCAAGTGATAAACACATAAGAAGTGATGGTACTTTTGGGGTTTCTTCACCCTGCTTAAATACTAAGGGAGGTATGTCTTCTCAGCCCTCATTGTATCAAAGTACTATGCCTGAAATGGTAAAGAAACTTGACAAGACTGAGTTAGATGACTTGCTTGCTACGTTTTTCATTCAAAATAATATTTCTTTCAATGTTGTGCAACAAAAGTCATTCATCAATCTTGTAAAAGCCATTGGCGAGTATGGTCCTGCATATAAATTGCCCAGCTACTCAACTTTAAGGACTAAACTTATCCCAAGAGCAAAAAAACGTGCTGATGAATATGTAGAAATTGTTAAGAAGACTTGGGAAGACACTGGCTGTTCCATCATTTCTGATACTTGGAGTGATATGAAAGGACGATGTTTCATTAACTTTATTGCATATTGTCCTAGAGGTTCCGTGTTCTTACAATCTGTTGAAATTTCAGAAGATAAGAAGTCAGGTCTTTTTCTGAGTCACTTAACCTCTAAGGTTATTGATATGGTTGGGCCTCAATATGTAGTTCAGTTCATCAGTGATAATGGTTCAAATTTTGTATCTGCTGGAAACATGCTTGTACAAAAGTACACCACCATGTATAACACGAGGTGTGCTGTACATGGAATTCAATTGCTTTTGAAAGACTTCTATGAACAAATCCCTTGGATGAAAAGTGTTGTTGATGATGCGAAATCCATTCAAGCATACATGTATCGGCACACTATTGTCACTGCTTTGATGAGAAAAGCTACAAAAGGAAGAGAACTGAAAAAGCCTTGTACTACTAGGTTTGCTTCCAATTTTCTTGTTGTGCAATCTGTAGTCACACTTGAGAATGAATTAAGATTTCTTGTGGCTTCTTCTGAATGGAGAGATTTGTCATATAGCAAGTCACGAGAAGCTATAGATGTGACAGGATTAATTCAAAACAATGTCTTTTGGTCTCAAGCGAGAGAGTGTTTGCAAGCCTTGGAACCTTTGGTCAGAGTTCTCCGCTTAGTTGATGGTGATGGATCTACGGCTGGATATTTGTACCAAGCAATGGAATTGGCTAAGGTTGGGCTCCAGAAAAGGTCTGAAAAAGATAGAGATAAATATGGGCATATGTTGACTTTATTTGAGGTGAGGAGAAAAGATAATATCACCCATCCCATTCATGCATTTGCCGCATCTCTCGATCCATTGTACATGACTAGTCCCGACTTTAAGCAAACAATGGAGATGAAAGAAGGTATGTTTTTCTTATTTGACAAAGTTCTCAAATCGGATGAGAAGGATTTATTCACGAAGCAATATCGTGACTATATTTTGAAGCCTTCCTCATTATTCAACGCAACAACATATAGCTTGACGAAGACATGTCATCCTCGTAAGTTGTTTTTATTTTGTAAATTGGGTGCTTCTTTAAAAATGGTCTTTAGTTTATTTTTATTTGATATTATTTTGTTAATTATTTTTTATATTTTAAGGAATATGGTGGGAGTTCTGTGGTGATTCTGTGCCAACATTAAAGAAATATGCCATTCGCATACTGAGTCAACCATGCAGCTCATCATCATGTGAGCGTAATTGGAGTGCATTTGAAGGTGCCCAAACAAAGAAACGTAATCGGCTCAGACCAGATATGCTAGGCATGCTTGTATATTGTAGGATGAACATAATGATGATGCAAAAAACAGATGAAAAAATGTTTAGAGATGTTGATCCGTTTGATTTAAGCAAGCTCACAGAGTGGCCTGATTATGAAGAAGAAGTTGAAACATGCTCCCAATTTGTGGATGAGAATGGATCGGTTGGGACTTCAGGGAGTTCATTTGATGATACTAGTGCTGATAATGCTAGTCTCATTCATCCCGCCTCATCCCTTTCAGAAGTCTGTGTGACTTATGTTGATGATGCAGATGGGTTTGAAGATTTTACTTTTGATTTTTGAGACTTTATTAGAGACTTTAGTGTTGATTTTCTTTAGATTTTAGACTTTGGTGTTTTATGTTTTTCTTTCATGATTACTGCGTTTATTGTCATGAAAACTTGTTACTATCCTTCTTTATTTTGGATTTAGTTTTCTTCATGTGATTTCCATAGAAAATTTAATGTTAGAATCATTTTATTTAAAATAGGCTTTTTTATTATAGTTGTTACATCATATATCTAAGAATATATATATTTCTTTTGTAAGAAAAATTGCATCTTAAATCGTTGAAAAATGTTGAGATGTTAATTAATCATTTCTTTCTATCAATAATTTAGTGAAATTAGTGTAAATATAAACACGTATTATATGCCGTATTTTTAAATTATTAAAAGTTTAAAACACGTATGTATCCGTATTCTTGCTGCGAACGTATATAACATATATAAAGCCGTATTTTATAAGGTTCACCGGAAAAATATGATAAAACTCCATACGAGTTGTGGAAAGGCAGAAGACCTTCCTATCAATATTTAAAAGTGTGGGGGTGTCTTGTAAAAGTGCTTGTACCAACACATAAGAAAATAAAAATAGGTCCAAAACGGTGGACTGTATCTTTATTGGATATGCACAAAATAGTAATGCTTATCGGTTTTTAGTGTACGAGTCGAATAATCCGGATGTACATAAAAACACAATAATTGAATCAAGGAATGCCTCATTCTTTGAAGACGTATTTCTATGCAAGTCCAACGAAGGACCAAGCACGTCAAAACGAACATTTGACGTAGCTATGGAAAATACTAGTGAGGGGTCCGGAGAAGAACCCGAACCCAGGCGTAGCAAACGTGTAAGAGTTGAAAAATCCTTCGGACCGGATTTTCTTACCTACTTGGTAGAAGTTGACTCAGATATTCTAACATGTATGGTAGAAAAATGAACCGGATTTTCTAACATGTTTGGTAGAAAATGAGCCACAGACTTATACGGAAGCCGTGACGTCTACCGAAGGTCCTATGTGGACAGAAGACTTCAAAAGCGAGGTGGATTCTATCCTACAAAATCACACGTGGGAATTGGTTGATCTTCCTCTGGGAAATAAACCTTTGGGATCCAAGTGGATTTTTAAACGAAAAATGAAACCTGACGGTTCCATCAATAAGTATAAGGCCAGACTTGTAATCAAGAGATACAAGCAACGGGAGGGCCATGATTACATTGACACGTATTCTCCTATGACGAGAATAAATTCCACTAGGATGATACTAGCAATTGGCGCATTGCGGAAATTGGAAGTTCATCAAATGGGTGTAAAAACCGCTTTTCTAAATGGCAATATAGACGAAGAAATCTATATGGAATAGCCCGAGGACTTTCGTGTTCCTGACCAAGAAAGGAAAGTGTGTAAATTAATTAAATCATTGTAGGATTGAAACAAGCCCCTAAACAGTGGCACGGAAGTTCGATCATGCAATGTTAATTAATGGGTTTAAAATAAACGAGGGTGACAAATGCGTCTATGTGAAGAGCATAATAGACGGCTATGTCATTTTATGTTTATATGTGGATGATATACTCATCGTTGGTAGAAATAATCTAATGATTAATTCTACCAAAAACATGTTAAATTCTAAATTTGACATGAAGGATATGGGGCTGGCCGATTTAATCCTTGGGATTAAAATAATTAGAGGACTTGACGGTCTAACGCTAAGCCAATCCCATTACGTTGATAAAATCCTTACGAAATTTAATAAGGATGATTATCAAAAGACAGGGACTCTATTAGATAAAAACGTACACCTTACCAAAAAATCATGGAGAGTGTATTTCTCAAGTAGAAGACGCTAGAATTATTGGAAGCTTGATGTATCTAATGAGTTGTATCAGCCCTGATATTGCCTTTGTGGTTAGCAAGCTAAGTAGATATACTAGCAACCCCGGTGATGAACACTGGAAGGCAATAGTAAGGGTTTTGAGGTATTTACGAAAAACCCAAAACCTTGGACTGCACTATGGAAGATATCCAACTGTACTCGAAGGGTGTAGCGACACTAGTTGGATATCCGACATTAAGGACTCAAAGTCCACAAGTGGATATGTTTTCACTTTGGGAGGTGCAGCCGTGTCATGGAAATCCTCAAAACAAACGATGATAGCTAGATCCACGATGGAGTCTGAGCTAATAGCCTTGGATAAGTGCACTGAAGAGGCTGAATGGCTACATCATTTTCTCAAGGGTATTTCAAGTTGGGAAAAGCCTGTCCCTCCAATATGCATACATTGCGACTGTCAAGCGGCAATTGGAAGGGTATGGAGAAACATGTATAATGGTAAGTCTATACACGTTCGTCATAGACATAACACCGTTAAACAACTCCTCACAACGGGTGTTATCACTGTTGACTACGTGAAGTCAAAGGATAACATAGCGGATCCGCTAACCAAGGCATTGGATAAAGAATTGTTGGAGAAGTTGTCACGAGGAATGGGACTAAAGCCCATGAATTGAAAAGTTCTATAGTGGATACCCAACCTAGTTGGTCCTAGGTTCAAAAGGGACTACTAAATTATAGAGCGAAAGATGGTCACTGTGGGGGGTCCGGACTCGTACCCACTCCTCATTGAAACGGTGACTCCCGCACGAGGTTAGCAAAAATGTTTACTTTAATGATTCTAAAATGTTGATCTACTCGATAACATTGGAAGAGTATGCGGGATACTCATGAAAGAATCACCTATGTGAGAGAGAAGAGGGTCGTTTCAAAGGAGAACTGTATAGGCCCGGTTCTTTAGAAACTCTTGCAGAACCAAGACGGTGACCCATGGCCAAAATGGGCACACCCATGAGAACGGAACAAACTTGGAAGGTTCCTGTGTAAAGATAAGTCAATGTTTACACGACGGCAGTATAATTCAAGGACATCGAGTCTACTAGACAGTCAGTAAATAAACATGTCTTTACAACGGAAGGTTCAAAGGATAAAACCTACCTCTCCGTATGCAGGGCTCACCCGGTGAACACAACGTGTGGGGGATAAAACCTACCTCTTCGTGTCTTTTTAAAGTCTCGAAAATCAATTTTCATTCATGTGGGGGATTGTTGGAAAATGTGTTAAGAAATTGCATTAAATGGTCATTTTGGGGTAATTATTTGAGTGGGATCCACTTCCGATTTGGGTCAGGTCAAAGTGGTTTCAGATTGTCCTTGCTCAGGGATACAATTCGATATGTGGTACACTCAAAACAGATAACGGGTGAATGAGAAATTGATTCTCGAAGTTCACTCGTTGAAATGGAGAAAACTAGGGAAATGATGGGTTTCAAGTGTGTTTTATCCCACACCGGAAAACCAAAGGGATTTTCACCCCCTTATAAATGGAACCCCATTTGAAGGAGTTATGATTCTTAGGTGGAAAGATTCTCTTCGCGGGGGGAGGGGGGGTGCCGATCAAATCCCGAACACGGAGAAGAAAAACCGCGACACGTGTGCGTGGGCGACCTACGGACACGAATGCCGTCTGAAAATCTATCTTCTAAAGATAAGATTAAATTTTTGTTCCTCATGTGTTTTCCTTTTTTTTTCTAGGAGCAGACCGCTGCTCCACACGCCCGCATCAGGCGGCTCGCGCAGCAAGTGGCTGCTCTCCGAGCAGGCGGCTCGCGTAGTAGGTGGCTGCTCTCTGAGCAGGCGGCTCGCGCAGCAGGCTACTGCTCGACCCCGCTGCCGTCGTTACAAGCCAATGAATGCTTAACGGTCATGCAATTGAATGGACAATTACGGACGAATCAATGCCAACGTGCTGGACATTGATGTCCAATGGTTATGTCCATTAACATGTCATTAACGCACAACAAATCTTTCTCTATAAATTGGCTAGCAATTTGCAACAAAAAGCACACATACGTTCACAAACGCACTCTTTAGCTCTCAAAAACACCTCTAGCATTCCATAAAAATTCCTTGGTGTTCATACTTGTTCACGTTTGCCGGAAAAATTCATTTGAGTGCTCAAATAATTGTTCGTAGTCATCATATCCTGCGAAATTATCGTTGCAACGCTCCTAGCACCCCAGGAGGCAATGAATACGTTTTAAGGACATCGTGCGTTGCACGAGCTTTGGCTACATTCCGCTTCTTCTACTTTATGTTTTCTTTAGTCATTTTAATTAATTAATTTTTATTAATTATTTCTTGCTTTTTCGAAACACACCCAACAAAGACTACTTCAGATCTGATGGTGCTTTGATTTGCACATGTCATCATTGCAGATACAGACAACTTCTCCGAAAACATCATTGAACAAACCTTGCGAACTCAAATCTCAATGTTGTCTGGAGAAGCCTTAGACCCCCGTTTTGGATTGAGGCTGCGACAACTGATTTCATCGCCTCAGGGACTTTATTATTCTACTTAGCATACACAACTTGTACACAAACTGTACATGATAAAAAACCAAAATAAAATCCCATTTCCCCATTCGCCTTCTCTCTCCCTTCTCTCTTCCCACTCTCTCCCCTCTCTCTCCCTTCCTTTTTTCTTTACCTAATCCCTTCAAAAATTCTCAAAAAAATTGGATGATCATCTTCTCATTTTCTTTTACTCGAGGGAGCGTCTGGGGGAGGGGGATTGAGGGCCTGGAGTAATCAGGACTGAAACTCACTCCTTTGAGTTTCGAACCCGAGACCTCCCGTAAGGGAGAGTGAGTCTGTAACACCCCGGCCCCGTAGGCTCCGAGGTAGTTACCTCTGACCTCTAGTACTGTCCTCACAAACCGCCACTAGCCTTTTCCGCGCACTTTGTCCTCACTCGTGTGCGCCCTGAGAAACTTCCCAGGGGGTCACCCATCCCAAGAATAGTCCCATGCAAGCACGCTTAACTTTGAAGTTCTCGGTGATGAGCTCCCTTAAAAGGAGATGCATCTTGTTGGTATGAGTAGTACTATTAATCCATTTAAATTAAATCTCAAGTATTACAATCACCCCCACTTAGGAACGCAACTTCCTCGTTGCGCCCATA